GCTGGAAAACTTCTGCTGACTTTATCTGTTCCCTCCCCTGCCCGCCTCCTTAAAATGAAAGAAATCCAAATAGAGGCACACACACACACATGCACACACCAACCCACCCACAACGAGGCGATAAAAATAGCGTCATCCCTGGAAAGTGAAGGCAAAAAGTGACACCGATACCTGTCAGCTAAGCCAGGTGTGTCAGCTTCTATGAATGCTGACGGTTTAAGTGCACAGGAAACATCTCATCATTACGAGATTACTGGAGCAGCCCAGTAGGTATTCATCGTCAATGAGCTGTCACTGGAGAAAAGCTGAGCCAGGAAAGACATAAAACCAGAAGGAGAGACAAACTCCGATCTGTGACCAGCTGCTTCCAGGTACATTCCTGAGTGCAGCTGCAGGAAGGCAAGCTTGAAGCTTTTCTGCAAGGCAGGCAGGAGAGCAGCCCAGTAAACAGCCCCTCAGATCAGCCTGCAGATTTGCAGCCCCTCTGACTGCCCACCCTGAGACGCAGGGGACCGGGCAAACTAATCCTAACTCAGTGTCTCTGTTCAGAACTTGCCTCCAAAAATCCAAGTAGAAACAGAAGCAGCCTGTAGCTGTGGTATGTAGATGTACCTTCAAAGCCTTTTATGATTCACTTTAAAATGTTTCTAGTAATTACTTCTATTTTAAAGGCGTTAGTTAATTGCATTGTGTGTAGAATCTGTGCCGTAATTGTCCTTCAGAAAGAGGGAGAGCATAGCCAGTAAAGATTGCTTATTAAAATTAAGCGCACTGTGGGCGTTTATTTCAAAGTGTAATTACTGAAATAAACAGTTGTGTTTATTGCAGGGTACAGAGCTGCACATACAGACGGGTACAAACATGCCTGTATGAGAAGCTCTGCATGTTGATTCTATGACAGTTGCCCGAGAGAATTTGCAGGTTCCTCTATGTTACATATAATATAAAAACTATCACAGATACAAAGGTGGTGTTACCCCGAGGGCAAAACGACCACTCTGAAATTTTTACTGCTAATCATTCAAACTTTGCATGCAGAACAGCATTCCGTGGTAACTTCAGCTCTTATCACTTCTGCAGTATCTGTGTTCAGAACAGCAGTGCTCCTGAGAGACTCAGTCCACTGTAACCATGGAATGAGAAGAAACACACAGTCTGAAATTCATTTAGAAGCAAATAACAGTTTCCAAAGCACTATTTTCCCCCTTGCTAACGATCCAATGTTAACTGTTGTAAACATCACAGAGCAGATTCCCTAGACTGAGAACAAGCAGGAAACATTTCTTCCCTTGGGGCATTTTTTCTCTTCTAAAAGGTATGTCCCTGAGAAGAAGAATAGAGAATAAAATTGCCTCTTCTACCACAACTGCTGAAGTGCATATCGTTATGATTTCTTTCTGCTGTGGTAATACCCAGAGATATGATCAGTGCTTGAGGGCCTTGTGTTGGGGGACACAACAGTAAAGAGATGTCCTGTAAAGATTACAGCCTACTTTAACTTCTGCAAAACATAGCTTGTGAATGTGAAAATGCCTGGTTAAGGAAATCTCTCCATTCGGAACCTCAGTGTTTATTGTTCTGTGTATTCTGCAGATCGTGTTCAAGTTGGCTGCCGGGAACTGAGATCCACCAAGTACATTTCAGATGGCCAGTGCACCAGCATCAATCCGCTGAAGGAGCTGGTGTGTGCTGGTGAATGCCTCCCTTTGCCACTGCTCCCCAACTGGATTGGAGGAGGTTATGGAACCAAGTACTGGAGCAGGCGGAGCTCGCAAGAGTGGAGATGTGTCAATGACAAAACTCGCACCCAGAGGATCCAGCTTCAGTGCCAGGATGGAAGTATAAGAACCTACAAAATAACTGTGGTCACAGCCTGCAAGTGCAAGCGATACACCAGGCAGCACAATGAGTCCAGCCACAACTTTGAGGGAACCTCTCAAGCAAAACCTATCCAGCATCACAAAGAGAGGAAAAGAGCCAGCAAATCCAGCAAACATAGTACGAGTTAGAAGTCAGACATTCTCTCCTCTCTCATGTCCCGCTCCTCCCGCCTAAACCGAACTCACCTGTAACCATTTGCTTTACCATTCTGACTGCTTAAAGACAAGTCTGCCATTGCTGTGTTCTCAGTTGACACGACATGCTTATTGCTTTGACCAAAATCAAAAGGGGCATTCTCAGCATATGGACCTTTTGGGTGATTTTCCAAATGCTCAAGATGGGGAATAACACAAGCCTTCCAAACCCACACTATAAACTTTTACATTTTCTCCAGCCACGGAGACAAAATAAATTTGCCATGAATATTCACTGAAGTCTATTTTGTAAAAAGATGCTTTGTTGTGTGTTTTCATGAGAACAGTTAATTATCACATCTATTGCCTTCTGTATCATGTTTTATGAACTTCTAACAACAGCTTAAAAAATACAACACCTAATATCTGCTTTGAGATTCATTAAAAAAAAAATGCCTTGCATGCTGACCTTTCTCTTATCTCAGTATACCAAAAATTAAAATATGCATGGCAGCAATCAAAAAGTAAAGCTGAACAAACTATTTATTTGTTGTTGTAATTATTTAATGAGCTTTTATGTGTGTTACTTCCCTCCAAGATGTTCTTATGTTTATAGCTTTTCTCATGTATCAAAGTATTTTCCTATGATTTGTGGCTGGATTAGAACATACATTCTGTAGATAATGTAAAATAGACATTTTAGCATTCTTGGTATATATATTTTCATTTTGAACATTCATAGACTTAGGTGTTATTTTGAAGTAGCAACATCAAACTTGTTTTTTTCATTCTCCAGTCTGTATTATTTTTGTTTAAAAGTGTGCAATCAGAAGACAGATATGATGACTTCCTTTCAAATTCATTGGTTTCTTTTTTTTTTTTTTACAAAAATAAACACTGCTAAAAATGTATTGTCTGGCTCTCTATATTGAAATGCACACATTTTAATCAGTCACAATGTTTAATCTTAAAAAATGAGAGAACATCATTTGGTTAAAAAAATCTATTCATTATATTTAACATTAAAACAATCTTTCTGTGGATCCTTTTTGGATGTAAAAATCTTCCATGGCCATTCAACAGATGATGGTGCTTATTAATGGTCCAAGCCAGGTTCTTATTTAACAATTCTCAAGTTGTACATTGTGGAAGAAGTGTATATTTGGGAAGTTTTACCAGCTAGTAAGACACCACTTTTTTTTTTTTTTTCTCAATTTTAAGTGATCTACATTGTGGTACAGTTAAAAAAAAACATTGCATTTGTGACCTAGTTGTTTCAGGTTTAGTTCTGTGATCGTGAAAATATCAGAACGAGGAGATCACAGACCATTAATTCTCTGATCTTAAAGGTGCTTCTTTTAAGCCTAAGAGGATAGAAGATGAATAAAGGAGTTAGGAGGGAGAGAGGTGACATGACGTTTCTTCTAGGCATATCAGTCCAGTAGACCTACAGATATCCTAGTTTTCCATTTTAACAGACATTATAGTCTCATTCAATCCATTTTATGAAGGAAAGATTATTCCCAAATGCCAAATATCTACCCATTTTTAAATTGTTCTCCAGTTACTTTTTCAAGACAATAAAGCACAGAAGATTGAGATAATGGACCAAAATTTAACCAAAATTATTTTCAAAGCCAATAGTCACTACACATCAGTAAAGTTGCCCTGCCCACTCTGTGTTTGACTCCCAGAAATAAGAATGTTGAAAAAACCCACACATCTTGCTCATTACTCTTCTACAGTCAGTGAAGTTTGACTGTAGGAACAATATGCCCATTTAATGAGAGTTTGCATTTAGCAATAGAGATAATAACTCCTAAGTTTGTCTTTTCACACAGAACTACCTGAAGGGGAATAATTTGACACACTTTCATTAAGATGACTTCATGAAATATTGCTGGGCATGCTACAGAAAGACTATGGGGTCCATCTCTAAGTCTGGCATATTTGAGGGAACACAAGGGAAGCCAGTAGCAGCTTTGTCCATCAGCAGCGACTTACCTTGATTTTTCTTAAGGAATAATGTTACTCTCTGTGACTCATCTCCTAGCTCTGAATGCTTCAACCTGGCCTATACAATCTGCCTTCTGTTTCATCCTGGTACATATGAACTCACAGGGGTCTATCCAAGGATCTAGACAAAAGGCATTATAACAAGTACATCCAGCTAGTTTTTTCTACATAGAAAGTCTCAAAATGTAAAGCTGCAGTGGGTAGGATATGGGCCACTCCTCTTGTATCTACAGTGCAGAATCTTGCCAAAGTTTTTCACAATGAAAAAAATAGTACTGCTTAAACTGAAATAATTTTAAATATGATACATCTTCTTATGTTTGCTCAGGGTTAAAAAGGAAAGACAAACATGCTAGAATTTTCTTAGTTTTAACCTGAAATGTTAAACCAAATAGATACAAGATGTAAATGTTTTGAAAAACATTTGAAAAACAATGTAGAGGTAGATCAGAATAGCTTTACACAAATTAGACCACTAAATAGTCTAGATTTATTACACTAAGAATACATAGAAGCTAACTTTCTCAATAATATCCTATCATATGGGCAGATCACTAAGTCCAGAGGCTTCTGAAAAAGCACTCAAACATCTTAAAAAGAACCTAATAAATTTATAAGGTCTCATACTTGCTTCTTTAGGAAACGAAAAGTGAATAAATTAGAAATAATCTGTTAATCTGCCATCAGTATTTCATTACTTTTGAGTTGATGAAAACTGCCCTCAGCTAAGGGGTAAATTGTTTTATAATGAATGGAAATCAATTTTCCTTAGACAGCACTAGAAGGAAACTTAGCCAGATGCTGATTGTTTTGATAGCATGGTCGCACTCAGAGGCACACTTCGTAGAGGCAGTGGCAGATAGTGTGTGTCATTAAAACATTATCAACTGCAGAAGTCAGAAGGGCCTGACACTTGCAGCCTACACTAGAAAGGCCCTTTGCAAAGTTTATTTATTCAGTTTTGTAGCAATAGTCACAAATCTGTTGCTCTCTCCTTTCCAGCAGCCTTGGAATCAAAACCACCCAATCCAAGTTCAGTCATTTATTTGGAAATAAAGCAGACGTTTGAATAACACCCTTCAAAATACCTAACAGATTTCTGCTAGTAAATCACTGTAGTCCTCCTAACCTTGACCCTATATCCTTCCTGAAGAAGTACAGCATTAATCAAGAAAGGACTGTTCAACACATTCCACCATGAGAGTCTTGTTGCTACAGTATTAACCTGGAGGTGTTCAGTGGAAAATTATAAGGAATCCTTAGTGTTGCAAGGTATCCTATTCTCATGATGCATTTCCTTTCCCGTAGGCCAGGCAAGGGGCTTTGATTTTAAGTTCATTGACATACATATAAACATCGCTCCAGGCTGAAACTAAAAATTCTCTAGAGATTTATGAGTTAAGCAGACATTCTGTCACTGGATTTGTTAATTTTGCCTGAACGTCACCCCCACAACAAAAAGCCTGCCCATGCATCTTTCTGAAAGACATCCAGCCTTTCAGCTCACTCATGGTATGAGTTATGTGGACTGACACACTAGAAAAGTGTGATTTACAAGTGATACTGCCTGCCACCGAGTTAATATTCAAACATCTACTTTCCTCAGTACTACCATGACAAGAAAATACTCTTCATTCTTAATTAATGCTCATCAAACTCCATGCCATGAAAATAACTAGTCTCTACTAATTGCTGAGAAAAATCTCTACAAACACTGGACTGTAACTCCATTTCAGGAGTTTGTTTTTTCTTAACTTACTTTGGTTTGACAACATATTATAGTGAATGACGCAGTGTTACGTTACGTAGCTGGAGTTCAGTTCTTAATGCCTCAGTACAACCACAAAGAAATACAGAGGATGTCTTAGTATAAATGAACATCAGGACCACTGACTTTAATGGGGCTGTTTGTGGCATATGGTACTTCATGAATGCAAAGGAAAATGAAAAAAATCAGCTCCCTGGAATAAAGGCCTAAATCAGAATACACTGCAACAGTAATATAGTTCTGTTTTTACTAAACCACAAATACAACTGCTGTCAACAAGTGACCTTTGTTACCATCTATTTAAGTACAAAAAATTAAATCATCTAAAAGTGTTTTGTTGAACACTTTGTCTATTTCTTGTCCCCTGCCCTATTTTAGTAGTTGTACAATAGTGTATTATTGTCTTGTTGTTTAAACCCTTAGCTGTTTTGAACTATACCTACTACAGCACACTTGCTTTTTGATACAGAAGTGTTTGAAATCTCTTCTTAGAATTACTAGATGTATCATTTTTAATTTTGACTACTCAGAGGAAAAGTCATGCTCTGACTGGACCTAGGAGTTCCACATTTCATTTGTTTTGTTAGCCCTAGTGAGAAGTGACTTAGCCAGGAAATTGCAAAATTTAGCAAAAGCATAAACCAGTCCGTAAAGTCCGATGCTTTGGTGGGCTAAAGAAGGGCTAACCAGGCACATTCATTGAAGTTCTTTTATACAAAACAGTGGAGAGTTGAGGGAGAGGGCCTAAGGAGAAAAGTACTTGTCTAGCCCTACCACAAGAACAGCACTGAGAAATGGAGGGACTATGCAGAGCTTTAAAACAGACTCTTTAGCACAAAGACTTTGTTTTAATTGCAGCTGAAGCAAGTTTAAACATCTGTTCCTTGTTAGATTATTATTTTATTTATTTACTTATTTATTTATTCATTTATTTTTGGGATGGGTTGAAGAAAGCTTTTTTAGATTCCCTACGGCCATTATGCTGGGATGGAGAACAGAGGTCTGAGCGTTTCTAAAATATAAAACTGCAAAAATGTTGGTTTTAGCAAGGATCCCTCACTTTTTTTTCTCCACTAGAAAAGCCTGCTGAAACTTTTGCTTTTGTACATCTTTATTACAATTTTTAGGATGGTAGCCAGAACAGCTCATAGCAGCAGGCAACAGGTGGTATCGACGCATTGCTTCTTTTGTTTTCAGATATTGCAATGTC